GCTGCTCGCTCTGCGCCTTCACACGCCGCTCGGCGGTTGCGTGCGCGTGATGGTGGCCGACGCGAAGGAGTGCGGCGAGGGCGCCCGCGTCTAGAATGCGGAACAGCCGTCTCTCAGCACCCACCGCCTGCATCCGAGCTCAGATTGTGCAGCACGCTCTGCTACACTCTCTCGCCCTCGCGCCCTGCGGCTCGCGTGATCGGCCGCACACAACCGCAGGCGTCTCCTTTTTGGGCGTGCGCAAGCTGCTGCTCACCGACCTCCCCGCCGACCCGCTCACCTTCATCCAGCGCGTCGGCCGCTCGGTCCGCCGAGTCCCCGCCTGGGCTGACGCTCCCATATATTGCCACATCCGCCCTCCGCACAGGCCACAGCCACCTCGATCGCTCGCCCCCACCCTCCCCGCCGCCCGCCCTCAGGTCCGCTTCAACGGCCACGCATCGCTGCCGCCTGAGGAGCGCACTGTCGACGTGCTCATGTACGCCGGCGTGCTCAAGAAAGAGCACTCGCATCGGGGGACGGAGCCGTCAGCGGACGAGCTGTTGCTGGAGCGCTCCTCCAGTGGCTCGCCGGCGGTCATGCCTCGGACATGTCGTGGACGTGTGACATGTCTAACAGGCGCGCTTGCGCAGCGAGCTGCGCCAGTACTATGTCGATCTCGGCCGGCTGAAGGGCATTGCCTTCGACGAGGGGTGCTGGCAGGAGGAGCCAGAGGACACGGTCCCGGCGGGAGCCGGGGACCAGCCAGCGGGCTCTGCGGCGGGCTACGACGAGGGCGAGGCCAGCGCGGGGGAGGGGGAAGAGGAGCGCTGCCGGCGTGAGCGCGAGGAGGCGCGCAAGCAGCAGCATCAGCAGCGCGAGCAACCGCCGCCGCCGCCGCCGCAGGGTGCGCCGCCGCCGCGGGAGGAGGAGCAACGGCAGCGGCAGCAGCCGCGGGCGCCCCAACAGGAATGGCGGCGGCTTGCTGCCTCGGCGCCGCCCCGCGAACGGCCGCAGCCCCGCCCCTGCCCCGAGGGGCCCGATCGGCAGCTCGGACGCGGACAAATCCCTCCGGGCAAAAAATCCTGGCTG